TATGACGGCACCCATTCACTGCAGAGCATCCATTGCTGAGCAAGTTTCTCCAAATCTGTTCTGATGAAGAAACAAACTCACATTCTGTACATCTCGGATGGCTTTAGTAAATCAGCATTAACACAGATTAATAAATGCTGTGAAAAAGTTTATGATAGTTCATTATATTTATCACAATAACACTTTATTTGTAAAGTGTTAATTAATGAATTTACTCTTCAGGGGTCACTGTGTGGGAGTTGATGACATTTGGATCCAAACCATATGATGGAATCCCAGCCAGAGAGATTGCAGATATTCTGGAGAAGGGAGAGCGTTTGCCACAGCCGTCCATCTGCACTATTGATGTGTATATGATCATGGTCAAATGTGAGTGCTAAAGTTGCAATAGAGAGGAGAACAGAAAATTATCATTCAAATGGAATGTAATGGTAGCTACAATGTGGCTATATGGCTTATTATGCATCACATAAACATTTCAGATGAACATGAGAAAAGACATTGTGAACTATATAGATTGATATACAACATAATAGCGTAATACATAATAGCACAGTTGAACGTCAGTTGAAATGACAGGACATACATTTATGTCTACCTCTAGGTTGGATGATTGACGCTGACAGCAGACCTCACTTCCGTGAACTTGTAGCAGAGTTTTCAAAAATGGCCCGAGATCCATCCCGCTACCTTGTCATTCAGGTAGTTCACAAAAAAGATCTGTGCATTGCTTTTAGGAACGAAAGATAAAATCACATAATTGTAGAAGTTTATATATTTTAAAAATGAATTACTCAAATGAGAGTTTTTCATTTGGCATTATACACAGGGAGATGATCACATGTTCCAGCCCAGCCTGACGGATTCGAAGTTCTGCATGACGTGGATCAGTACAGAAGATATGGATGGTGTGGTAGATGCAGAGGAATACCTGCTACCCAACAAACGATTCTTCAACCAATCACAACCACCACCGATGCCTCAGTATCACAATACAGCAGTCAGTATCTCCTTCTATGGAATATTATCATTTAAAATGTTATTAGCCAAGTACATGTCATCAGATATGATTCGTTGATCTTTTGTGTATTGTTTTAAGGACAACTACACGAATGGTGTGATGTTGCGCTACATTACAGACCCCACGCTTACAGACCTCATGCTGCCAGGTATTACCATACATTTTATGAGTTTTAAAAAATGATTTTTGAAACCAAAATGAGGCAAATATTTAGTGTTATTTTAGTATTATTTATATACAGTTATAGCATTTTTTAATATTTTGAATTTTATTGATATGTACTATATATATATATA